GCCTTAAGCCTAAGTAGCCCCTCAAGGCTCTCTCTAATAGGTTAAAACTAACTTTTAAAGTCTAACCTTTAAACCCAGTTCATTAACATTAAAATAAAATAAAAACAAATAAATACACAACTAATCAAAGAACCACAAAATGCCTTCTAACAAACACAACAAGGTTCATATAGCATATAATTGTATAGACACGTAAATAAACAATTCAATCACAAAATACACAATTTAATTAGATAAACAGTACAACTTAATTAAGCAAATATTAAACTAATAAAAACAATTTTGTTAAACAAATAATAAATTAATAAAACAATTTAATCAAACAAATATACAATTTAATTAATCAACCCAATAAATGAATTAAAATAATTTCTTTGAAATATAGTGGTATTACAGATCATGTATGTTCTTGAGAAGGAAAATGGCTCGGGAACTCATCTCCATCTTTTGGAGTTCTCAAATGATTTTCACTTCTTATTTCCTTCTTGTAAATTTGGACAAGTGATGTAATGAGGCCATTTTAATGTCAATGTATGTTTTTCATCATTAATTGCACACCTTATATGTATTTTCACGCATATCTTTGTTCACTATGTCCATGCTTTGGTTTATGTCTGCATGAGGGTTGGGATGGACTTTGGACTTAGTTCACAACCTTATTAGGTACCAAGGAGGTTCCCAAGACCTTAAGTACCTTTTTTAGGGCTATTTTGCACTTTTGGGGGTTTTGAGCTCGAGTATTTCTTTTGTGCTTGAGCACAAGCCTGGGGAGCTTGAGCACAGGCGTTGGTGAGCTCGGGCATTTCTCATTCTAAAAAATCATCTCTCGGAATCTCCATTTATGCTCAAGCAATCCATAAAAGCTCAAACTTTCCATGAAAAGCTTGAGCATTTCATGAAAGCTCGAGCACACCCTATAACACTTATCACATTTGCTACACTATCTTTAAACGACCATATCTCCTTCATTGTAAACCCAAATTAGGTCATTTTTGTGCTTAAATTGTAGAGTGTTGAGCTAGCTTTCCAGTGGTACAACCCCATCCACCATATTTGACATAAAATGACCATTTTACCCTTCATTTTTGCATATGACCGTTTTAATCTTAGCTTCCGTATTTGTTACCTGGAATTCTCAGGCCGAGTTTGGATCTACTTAATTAATGCACTGGAACATGGGATTTGGGGCATTACAATAATTTCTTAGTAATTTTCCCCTTTTTACACCATTATAATTTCTTATTTTCACATGTTACTTCAAACCACACGAGTGGAATATTGGGTGTGGAGTGTCGCGTGGGGACCAAACCATTCCTATCGCCATAATGCAGGCCATTATCCAAATGGACATGTGTTGTGGATGCTCTAAAACACCCTTTTTTTTTTCTTTTTTTTTAAGTTCTATAATTTTGTAAGGGTTTTGACATTGGTCCCCTTTTTTAAAAATATTAGAGATTGGTCATATTTTTAAATCTCTCTATTAGCCAACAAACGGTCTACCGTACACTAAATAAACTTAAGAGTATTATTTTATAAAATTCCAAAACTACCCCTTTGCTAAGATATCATCTATCTCTTCTCAACCTATTACCACCGCTCTTGATTGAGTTATGAGAAAAACATAGAGAATTCATGCCCTTGCACTTCCACATGTAAAGTTAATTTTATGAATATTGTTCTTAGATTTCAATGAATCAGTGGATCAATTTTTCTCAATTCTTTTATAAAAAAATCAAAACCTTTGTTCCACACATAATCATATTCAACAACATAGTGACAATGTCTTTGTTTCTCCTTTTCAATCCTTAATTTTAGGTACATGTATCTTATACCCAAAAAGAGAGAGAAAAAAAATAAAGGAAAGAAATTAGCACTTTTATTTATGATGGTGAATAGTCTGTTAGATATTAATACGGTGATGATATGATTATTCTTTTGGTTCAGAGGATTCTATGGTGTTTGCAATGTCTATTACTAGCCAAGAAAAGAAAGAAAAAAAAAAAATCAAATTTATCGTCTTTCATAAGGTCATAATTGAAAGAAAAAAAAAAATCACCAAATATATAATGAAGCAATGAGGTCGTGGGGAAGAGGTTGAGAAAGAGAAAGAAGGGGTAGGGTTCTGATCATCCTCTTTAGAATAGTTTGGTGGAAGCAAATTATGGTTAGTTTTGGAATTTTATTAATTTTTTTTCTTTTAATGTTAACATTATTTATAAGAAAATGATATTATTGACGACTTTAATACCCCGATTTAAAACTGACATAGATAAAATATGATGTGGTTATTCTAAAATTTCAACTTAAATAGGTATCATTATTATTGTTATTTGTTTCCATAAAATACGTCTCTTTTCCCTTCCTTATTTTTTAGTTTTCCATAACCCCTTTTCTTCTCTTTTTAGTTTTCCATTTATGGTTGCATCATCATCATCATCATCTTTTTTTTTTTTTTTTTTTTTTTTTTTTTTCACATCAAATTTCATGGTACTCAAAATATAAGAATTTTATTTGTACAAAATCTACAACAAAAATTACAATGTTTCTTTACAATTTTATACTTTGTAATTTTTTAAAAAAAATTGCTCTCCTTATTTTTGTTTTTGGGAGTCAGATAGATTATTAGTTTTGATCAATATAGCAATTAACAAATGCCTATCAAAGTAATTGATGTATATTAATGATCAAAGATTCAGTGTTTTATCTCAAGAGTTCTTACAGAGATGCAATGTGATGTATAAAGATAATAGATACACAATTTGATAAACATAGTGATTGAAACTTTAATTGCCAACAAATATACTAGATTAAGATGAAATGTGGGACTGAAACTTTCTAAATAGTTAATTACCTTATATTTTAATATGAGTACCATTATATTTGACATATAAATAGCACACAGACTTGGTGAAGTAGTAGGTTTTTATTTGTCGGGCTAAATAGCGGTACTCTTATTTATATGGACTATTTGTTGAGCAACAAAAATATCTAAAAATAGGACATATTTTTAATATTTTTTAGGGTAAAGTGCAAAAACTCCCCTTGAAGTATTGGTCATTTGCAATTAACCCCCCTGAACTATAATTTGCCCCTTTAAACTATTGAATTTTTGCAATTAACCCCCCTGAACTACAATGTGACATCTTCGGCCAATTGGTTATAATGGAAATAGTGAAAGATAATTTTACCCCTATATAAAACTACGTTGTTTCACTAAAAATTTCAGCAACCACTAATTTTATTTTATTTATTTATTTTATTTATTTATTTATTTTTTCCGGAAGGTAAATTTTTGTATATATGTAAAGAACTGTACAAGAGCCTTAGCCCTAAAATCGAGTCCAAGTCCGAACCCTGGGAAAACAACCCAAGCCCAAACAGGGCCAATTAAGCCACATGACCTAAATACAGCCACTCAAACATATGACCTAATTAAGGCCATTCATTTTGCTGAACAAAGACCATCAAGCTCTTCGCCGATGTTAAAGCGAACCCCAATCCGGTGATAAACGTTGAGGGTGTAATCTAAGCATCCACTGAAAAATTGACAACGTGCCATCACGTCGCAAACCACCCTATCACCGTTGAGTTCACTCCACCGTCTTTTCCACCGCTGGCCACCATCATTCAAAGCCAAACACCGGCCGCCATCAAACCCAATCACGGCCGAGCTTCTTCATAACAGCCCATAACTGAAATCGCGACTTCTTTAGTCGCTGATTCGCAGTCGTCCTGAACCAGCCGTCTCCCCGGCCAAGCACACCGCCATCTATGTTCCGAGCACCGCCGCAAGTTCAGCGCCGAGCTTTGCCTCATCTGCTGGCCTCCCCATTTCGAGCTTACCGTGACTTCCATCACAGCCGACACCATCAAAGCCGAGCTAGTTGCCGCGAATTCACCATTATAGCCCGCTACTCACCTCTCCAAGCTCTCCACCGCCGAGCCAACAACCAAGTTCTCCATAGCCGGCCGATTCTTGCCCGCCGTCCATCTCCACTAACAACCAAGGAATTCTGGGGCACAATGATTCAGAAATTTTCAATTTTGTTTATATTTTATACAATTGACAGTGTTTTATGTTTTCATGTGTCCATGGAGTGATTTTTTTTGGGATTTTCTCAATTTATGGTTCTAAAAAATTAGGAATTTTTAGGTGTATATAAAAGCATATAAATTTGATTTGTCTTCAAGAATTTCCTTCAAATCAGAAGCTGTTCAGTCAAGAAAGCATTGACCCAACTTTTGATTTTATTTATTTATTATTATTATTTTTGGGAGAAATTAAGATCATGAAGTAGTAAAAGTAGACTCATTTGGGGTCATGTTTAACCGTTCTTGCGGTTTGGGTTGAAGATGATGATGGGGGTGATGGTTGACGATGAGGGTGTGTGTGTATATATATATGTGTGTATTCATGATGGATATAATATAGAAAGAGAAAGAATCAAAAACTTTCACGAGCACGGGAGTTGCTGATGTAGGTGGTTGATGATAGGGGTGTGTATATATACGTATATACATGCTGGATATAATATAGAGAGAATCATAACCTTGATGATAGGGATGAAGAATGAGGAATTTAAGAGTTCTGACCTATTTGGGATTTAACGGTAATAAAAGGGGCATTGTGATCTTTTAGTTTCATAAAGGATTGTATGGTCATTTAAATAAATTTGGGTTGTTACATGACCCATTATGTGCTTCTTCACGGTCAAATTCAAACGGCGGATCACCAGACTGGTTAATTGCAACAAAATGGTCAGTTTATATGTTAAATTATTAGATCAGGTTTTCTGCTAAATAGCCAATAGTTCAAGTTGTAGCTGCCCTTTTTTTTTTTTTTTTTATCCTATTTTTTATAAAAAATTACAGGACAAAGTAAAAAAAGGCCTCTTTTAATTTTCTTTTCTTTTTTTTTTTTTTTGTTTTTTTTTTTTTAAACCATCTTTTACCGGTTTACATTCCAGGGATTTGTTGTCTGCAGATATATATACTGGTCCTCTCATCTCAATTCTGATTTTAGGAATACATAAACACACTTTTATATAGGAAAAAACACACCTATTTCTGTATGAAGGTAAGGATGAGCAATGGCAACAACAATAGAGGCATTTCAGGCAACAGCAATAGACCTGAATGGCTACAACAGTACGATTTGATCGGCAAGATTGGCGAGGGCACGTATGGTCTCGTCTTTCTTGCCAAGGTCAAGTCAAATCGGAGCAAGTCCATAGCCATCAAGAAGTTCAAGCAATCCAAAGACGGCGACGGCGTCTCCCCCACCGCCATCCGTGAAATCATGGTTCCCCTCTCTCCTCTAGATTTTACGTTTAGGGTTGTTATTTTATGGGGATATGAAAATTCTAATATCTGAAGTTGTAAATTTTAAAAGGTTTGCTGACCAGCTGTGGGGGACATTGATTAAACAGAAGAATTTATTCAAGAACCCTCTGTTTGGTTCCATTTAATTGTGTTTTTTTACTGAGAAAATACAAGAAAATGAAGCTAAGAACTTCTCATTTATTGTGTTTCCAAAGTTCAGCTGTAATTGTTGTTTCATGATTTTTATCCGGATATGAAAATTCTTAAATCCGAAGTTGGAAATTTTAGAAGGGTTGCTGACCGGCCGTGGGGAACACATTTATTAAAGAATGCTCTGTTTGGTTGCTCATAAACCCTGAGGACAAACTAAACTAATAGTGTTGAAATCATTTTGTTTCATGCTGCTTTAGCCAACGATTATCTTTTTTTTTTGCTGGGGAACAGAATCTTAGGTTTTCATCCAAATTAGGATGTTATTGATAAAAAATAAATTAATGTTGGGTTTGGGAGCACCGAATTGGCGTCTTAGAATTGGAAATGGAATTGGAATTTTGAACTAAATTTCCTCCAATTCCAAATCCATAATTGGCGTCCTGGATTCGTTGCTCCCAAACATAGCATAAACTTTTAGTTAGGTATACAATTAACTACTTTTGTGTAGATAAGTCGATAATTGGAACCATTTGCAAGCTTATGGGTTATAATTAGGATAATGTTAGTCTATCTATTTTAATTAGGATAAGGCTATGTTGGTTGGTTTTTGTTCAATCAAGAACCTAGTTATGAAATTTTAAGCGGCAAATATCTGCTTACTTTTCTCTTGCTTTTCCTTTGTATTATTTGCTCACCAAATGGAGAATAATTGTGAATTGAAAATCTTAGAAGGAATGTTCGATTCCATTTTTGTAACTTTGAGAACAAATGATGCAGTTACTTCGGGAGATATCCCAGGAGAATGTGGTAAAGCTTGTGAATGTGCACATTAATCACATGGACATGTCACTATATCTGGCTTTTGACTATGCGGAGCATGACCTCTATGTAAGTATATTTGTCCATCTCTTGTTTTCCATTTGATTCCAAGCAAGGTTCGAACATCACGGAATGGGCATATATTTTTTTTTGTGGAGTTCCAATGTAGTATACGTTCTAATAACCATTTTTTCTTTTTGCATATATTACGAGGGAGTTGATATGCTAATATTGAAATCTTGCACACAAACACACACATTATGGAATTATTAAAAAAAGATGTGGGAAGTTTTGGTTGGGGTTATTTTAGAGTCCCAGGGTGCTTTTGTTGGAGGGGCGGCAGATTCTTGACTCTGCTCTTTTTGCTAGCGAGTGTGTGGATTCCAGACTTAGGAGTGGTGTTCGTGGAGTTTTATGCAAACTTGATATTGAGAAAGCTTATGATCATGTCACTTGGAGCTCTTTGTTATACTTGCTTGAGTTGGGTTGCATTTATAAGCTTATTGCCAAAGTTCTTGCTTTGAGGTTGAGGGAGGTTTTGGATGGGGATATTCCCAGAATGCTTTTGTTGGAGGGCAGCAGATTCTTGAGTCTGCTCTTTTTGCCGGCGAGTGTGTGGATCCTAGACTGACGAGTGGTGTCCCTGGAGTTTTATGCAAACTTGATATTGAGAAAGCTTATGATCACGTTAGTTGGAGCTTCCTGTTATATTTGCTTGAGAGAATGGATTTTGGAGATAGATGGAGGGGGTAGACAGATACTTGTATCTCTTCAGTCAAATTTTCCATTCTAGTGAACGGGTCTCTTGTTGGCTTTTTTGGCAGTTCTCGGGGATTGAGACAAGGGGATCCTCTTTCATTATTTCTCTTCCTTATCGTTATGGAGACCCTACATAGGTTGATGAAGAGGGCAAAGGACAAGGGATTCAGGGTGGGTAGAGATTCTGCTTATCTGATGGAGATTTCACATTTATTGTTTGTGGATGATACTCTGGGTTTCTGTGATGATGTTGTGTCCCAGTTGAGATATTTGAGGTGCATTTTTGTTTGTTTTTAGGCGGCCTCCGGTTTGAAAGTTAATATGGGAAAGAGTGTGCTTGTCCCGGTAGGGGAAGTTCAGGACATTGTATCTCTTGCCGCGGTCCTTGGGTGCGGGGTGATCTCTTTCCTTATCTCCTATTTGGATTTGTGATGTTGTGGCCCGAATTTGGTGCCGGGTCGCACTCGTTGGATGAGCTTTGTGTGGGCCCGAGGAAAAATTTTAACCCCCTTTTGCTCATGGGTCGGGGACCCTAATTAGTCTCTTGTAGCCCGATATATAAGGGCGCTTAGGGTTTGGAGTGGGGTAAGAGAGACTTTGAAATTCGTATAGAAATAGAGTGAGGGGCTGAAACTTGTAATCTCCGATTTTACACATAGTGAAAACTTTTGCCAGATCCCAACCGTGGACGTAGGCTGTTGCCGAACCACTTATAAATTTTTATGTTCTTTATTTGGTATTTTTACTTTTTTGTCGTGATTCTTGGTTTTATCTTGAGTTCGTTGCGTTTGTCATAACAGGTTTGCCTTTGGGGGCTTTGTCGAGGAGGGTGGGAAGTTGGGATCGCGGGGGGGGGGGGGGGGGGGGGGGGGGGAGGTTCTAGATTCCATCTTCTGTTGCTGAAAGGATTGAGATGATTCAACAGAATTTCTTTTGGGGTGGACAGGGCGAGGAGTTCGAGTATCATCTTGTCCGTTGGGAACAAATTTGCAGGCTTATTAAGTTGAGCGGCCTAGGTATTAGGAGGTTGGTTCCCTTTAATATAGCTCTCCTTGGTAAGTGGTTGTGGAGATTTGGTAGTGAACGACATCGTCTTTGGAGGAGGGTTATTTCATGCCGTTTTGGGGAGGAGAGAGGTGGGTGGCCCTTTGGTCTTTAGTCTCTATCGCTGGAGGTGTGGGCGTGTGGAAATTTATTCATAAGGGATGGGACATTTTCTCTAATCATATTAGATTCAGAGTCCTGGATGGTAGATGGGTTCGGTTTTGGGAGGACTTATGGTGTGGTGATCCCCCGTTGTCTTGTTCTTTTCCCAGACTTTATAGAATTGCTGATGATAGACATGCCTATGTGGTTGACTGTTACCGGCTTGATAGCGGTAGGCTTACGTGGGATGTGTGGTTTAGGCGTTCTTTTCAGGATTGGGAGGTGGATGAGGTTTGTAGCCTTTTGGATATTTTATATGCCCAGCCGCGCTTTTCGCCTAGATCAGGTGAACAAAATAGTTACGGCTTACAATCATAAAAGGCAGCCCTCTTTTGTACGGGCCCTACGGGACCAAGGAACGTGTACGACTGGCGGCGAAGGGACTTTCTAAGGATGGACTTGCCTCTTCACCGAACCCGCAATCCTACAACGAGGCCGCCCCTTATGAACAAGCGGCTACTCAACAAGCGGAAGGGAGTTAACAACTTGACAGTTCGGCCGATAGGTGTTGATTGTAATAAACAAGTGGGAGAAGGAGATTGTGAAATGGGAAGGGAAGATTGTGGGCCAGCCGAAATTCAGATGGACGTCCGGCCAACTAATGTGGAAGTAGGTCAATGGGGTGCGTTGCTTAAGTTTGTGTCGTGACGGCAATCTTGTTGGAAAGATGACCATGAATCGTCTTCTTGAGCTCAACCCATGATTGTTTTTCTATTGATTGTGTGTGTGTTCGTAGTGTCTCGCCAAACCGCGCCTTTGCTTAAGAAGTAATCCAGTCTTCTAAGTCCAACTCCGGCAAGGAAAGCTAGCTTCAAGTGTGTGGTTCATGAGTGTAATCAAAGACCAATAAGTGGGATTCTCAATCTTCCACTACCAGTGATGTTAGTCAATTTGAGGTTGCTTGTCGGTTCAGTGATAGTCTCAAACACAGCAATCAGTCTTGAGGTACCTTGTTATGTATTGGAAAAGCGTAGCGTTTGGAAGGCAGTTATGGGAGTGTGGGAAGACTCAAGCTAGACGTTCGTATCCCATTGGTTTAAAAGTATGGGCTCTTCTCAAACATGAAAAGTTCAGTCGTCTATAGCAGTCAAATGAGTCAAATCGGAGTCGCTTGCTTTGTTTTGTTTTCCTCAGGGTGAAGCCCTTCCTTACCCATAGATAGTAACAATAAGCTTTTCTACAAGAATGTTAGGAAAGATATACCCATACAGACTGAGTTGCCCTACTGATTGAAAGCGTCAAACCTTTCAAGTTCTGTACTTACCTCGGTTAGAAGGTGAACAAAATAGCAGAAAGGTAGGTCGGGAAGAGAAAAACAAGCAGGAGACGCTTACCCGTTGAGGTCGTTCCTTGGAAACTTGTTTAGTAAATAAAATGCACTCAGAAAATGATTTGAATTTCCACTCCTTTTTGCTAGGTCATCTCAGTCAGCTGGGCTAAAGCCCTAAACGGCCCTTATCCGGTTAGGCTACAACGCCAGAAAAGGACTCTCCTATTCACAGCTAGCCTTTTGGATATTTTATATCAACAGGAGGCGGTTGGTGAAGGCAATGACGCTTTACTTTGGGTACCCTCTACCTAGGGAAGATTTGAAGTCTGGTCCATGTTTTTGTGCCTCTCCAATTTTGTTGGTTCTGATTTCCCCTGGAAAGATAATTTGGCGCTCTAAGGCTCACTTTAAAGTGGCTTTCTTTGTCATTTCTTGGGTAAGATCTTGACTTTGGATAACTTGAGAAAGAAAAGAGAAGACACATTATTGTTAATTGGTGTTGCCTATGCAAAAGGGACGGAGAGTCCGTGGATCACCTCCTTTTGCATTGTCCTGTAGCTCACGACTGCTGGAATCTTATCTTCGGCTTATTTGGTATCCATTGGGTCATGCCTTGGTCCTTGAGGGGTTTGCTTAACGCATGGAGAGGACGCTTCGTGGGCAGGCATGGAAGTGTTGTGGGCTCAGTGGGGGCACTCTGCCCCCACTGAAATTTTTTGTTATTGTATTTTATACCCCTAAATTTGTACTTTTTTGCATTTATATCCATAAAATTTTAAAATTGCCCCCACTGAAATTATGAAAAAACCTCTCTATATAAATTTGGCCCCCCTCATATGAATTCTAGATCCGTCCCTGTTCGTGGGGGTCCTTGCTCAGGATTTTTGGATGATGGTTCCCCATTGCGTGTGGTGGTGCATTTGGAGGAGCGGAAAATAGATCTTTTGCAGGGAAGGAATCATCCGTTGCGGCTTTGAAACTTCATATAATTAGCTCTCTCTTTAGTTGGGTGATGGGGAGAAATTGTACTTCAATTGATGAATTTGTAGATTTTTTGGGCTCTTTGGGTCCGTAGATCTAGATTCGGCTTTTGGTTGTTTTTGGGATGCATTTCCCTTTTGAACGCTTGCTTTCTAATACATTCTTACTTACCAAAAAATAAATAAGAATTGTTGGTTACACAGCCTGTGAGGTTACCCATATAAACATTAGTATGCCCATTGTTTCGCCCTTTTATGTCCTTTTGTGGGTTACAGTTGTTAATTTGTTTCCCACACATATGATATATTTGATAAGGTTACATGCGTGTTTGGTCATCAGTAAAAAAAAGAAGTTATAATATGCAAATGAATAACACGCTCCGGCAGGTCCTTTATTTTATGCATAATATGCGTGAGAAGGAAGCGTCTTCTTCCTTTCAAAGCCCTATTTCCAAACTCCAACCACCATTTTTGATTAAGAGCTTCTTAACACCCTGCGTTGTCAACAGCCGTGTCCAATAGACAACATGAAAGGTTCGACCCATATCCCGTGTTCATGTCCGTCTCGTGTTGTGTCAACATGGACACCCTCGCGGGTGACGACAAGTCCAGGTAACACAGATTATAGGGTTAAGTGCACTAAACCCTCTGGAACTTTCTTCGCTTTCTCAAGAACCCCCCTGAACTATGGAAAAGACACTTAACCCCCTGAACTATGGTGCTTGTTGCAAAAAATTCCAAACCGTTAACTTGCGGTCTCGTTTTAAACGTTAAATGGAGGCACGTGACCATGTGCCTTTGCCAAAATTTGGAATCCTAGATATACCCTTATGACTGTTAGACCATATATATATACACACACGCGCGCCATATATATGTATATATATATTTGAACGAAAATCTCCGAATTGAAGAAACCATAAAATCATTCTCAGCAAAGAATTGTGAGGCCATATTGAAGAAACCCCAAATCGAACCATTGATGATCTCTCTTTCTTCATCTTTAGCTCTCTCTCTCTATCTCTTTCTGCATCTTCATTTTCATTTGCAAGAACCAAATTTAGATTTTGTGTACATGTTTTCAGCTCATTTGCAGCACATTCTCTTTCTTCCCGTGACACAATCAAACACACAACCACACTGCTGACTCTATCTCATCCAAGCTACTGATCGGAATGTCTGCAGAGGCGATCCCTCTCTGAGCAGAGTGTTCTCTTTCTTAGTACTCTTCAAAACATCAGAGCTATCTTTTCTACCACCTCAATGCTCTATCCTGTTAGAAATTCAAGACTCTCACCAACAAAGTGTTCTATTTTCTGTCATTTTATTGGTCAACAAACCATCCGCAAGATGATGGATATATATATATACCCACCATATATATATATGCAGAAAATTAAAAATCCCTAATTGATGACAAGAACTCTCCAAGTGAATATGGGAATGCTCTTTCCATCCCACAAATTTTGTAGTGCTTCTCTCTTTCTCTCTGGTCTTTCACTTAACGCCCACCTCTGCCACTCCGCCACCACCATTCAACCTTTAATTTAGGTTAGAAAAATTAAAACCCTCATGGGATAATATTTTGTATAAGATGAAAAAAATTAAAACTCTAATTTTTCTATTCCAATACAAACTTTTCCATGAGAGAAACAATAAAATCTGAAGAAAAGAAAAATGAATGGATGAAATCGATCTTGACAGTAAAAGAGTTTTGGGGAAGAGTCGAATGGCTGTGACAGAATCCTCTTTGCAAGTTAGCAAGGAACAATTTGGTATATATATATATATATATAAATACAGTTTGTGAGAGCTTCGCGCGAATAACAGAAGGGAAGGATTGTTTGGCTCCAGAAATAGAGACAACCGCAAGTATTGTATACATTCTCTGTTTTATGATAAGATTATGATGTGCTGTCATTTTTTAATTGGTTAGTAGGATTGCTTTGCCACATCAGCATATCAAGTTGGAAAATAAAAGAGACGTTGTAGTTCAAATTAAGGGCAAAAAGGTAAATTACTTTTTCTGTTACGTTAACCGATTGTCCTAAAGTGCAACAATCATATAGTTCATGGGGTTATTTTTAGTTCAAGGGGGTTTATTGCAATCGGGTCATAGTTTAGTGTTTAGTGCACTTAGCTCCAGATTATAACTTAGAGCGTTAGTAAACATATCATCTTCAGGTTTAACAAATAGTGTAGAGATGCCTCCACTCAATATTTTAGCTCGAATAAAGTGAGAGTTGACTTCGATATGCTTGGTCCTCTTGTCACACACAGGATTGGAGGCAATGTGAAGAGCTGCTTGGTTATTACAGAACAACGGATAGGAGTTTTGACTATTAAACCAAGTTCGTCAAGAAAATGTTGCAACTATGTTAACTCACTAAGGTAAGGGCCATCGCCCTATACTCAGCTTCAGTATTAGACCGAGCTATCACCATCTGTTTCTTGCTTTTCCATGTAACAAGATTATCTCCCACAAAAGTGCAATATCCCGTAGTAGATCTCCTATCGAAGGAAGAACCAGTCCAATTAGCAGCTGTAAAACCTTCCATCATGAGATGTCCATTCGATCTATACAATAACCCGAGACCTGGAGCTCGCTTGAGATATCGGATAATCTGAAAACAGCATTCCAATGAGGCACCCTAGGAATTCCCATAAATTGACTGACAACACTAACTGCATCAGGCCGAGTAATGGTGAGATAAATCGATTTACCAACCAGTCGCTGGTATCTGCCATGGGAATAAAATAAATCACTCTCATCAACCAAGAGTTTTGTGGATCCGCAGGAACATCAACTTGATGACCACCTAACAAACCCGTTTCTTCTAATAAGTCCAACACATTTTCTTTGAGACAAAATTATACCTTTTTTAAATCTAGCAACTTCAATGCCCAAAAAATATCTGAGTTTACTCAAGTCTTTAGTGCGAAACCGATGCTGCAGAAACAACTTCAGCTTAGTAATGCCCTCAGAGTCATAACCTATGATAACAATGTCATCCACATACACCACAAGAAAAATGAAACTTGCTTCAGTTTGTTGGTGAAATACTGAATGATCTGTTTGGCGTCTGCTAAGACCAAATTTTAATGCTGCCTCAGAGAATTTTCTGAACCAAGCCCTTTGGGATTGTTTCAATCCGTACAGGGCCATATTTAGGCGACAAACATTGTGACGATACTCCCCCTGAGCAACAAACCCAGGTGGTTGCTCCTATAGACCTCTTCAGCTAAGTCGCTGTGTAAGGGAAGACGTACAGAAACAGCCACATAGGGTGAAGAATACTCTGCAACAGGGTATATGAAGGCAACTCTTTAACTTTTGCTGCTGCCAGAGGATTTGCTGCTGCAAATAGGGATTACTGCTGTATTTCAGACCTGAAATGCAATGCATATTATTGAATAAGCTAGAGCAAACAGATGGGTATATCCTCGTATCAATGAGACAGTCCGGAGGTTGGGAGTCTGGTAGAAGAGCAGGATTTATTGGAGGAGCCTGCAGGAATACTGTTATTGTTTGTTGGCAGCACTTGCCTGCCATCTCAAGAACACAGGGATATTGGCAAATTGGCTGGTCAGATTGATAGGTACGGAATGCCTGAGTGTAAATGATAACTCTCAGTAAAGCCCCAGGATCTGAGAACGTGTCTAGAGGACTCCCCGGAAACGTTAATGTCTGTTTTGTGTTTCTCATCTTTAATGCACTCTTCCTTATTCTTGTATGCTTGAAATTTTCTTTTAGCAATCTCAAGTTGTATTGCTGATGCGTACTCATTAAAAAAATTGTTTTGTTGATGCGAAGTCTCATTGAGGCTCACTATTCAATGGAGGCAACATTTTCAACCACTAGAAAGTGTGTTTGAATATGGCAAGAAAAAGAACTTAGGATACTATAACTTTTTTTTTTTTGTCCTTCATGCATTTGACAAGTTCTTGGCATTGAGTGGCTTTATTTCCAAAAGTTATGCAGAAGCACTGTAGATGTAGCCATGCTTTTAATCTACTGAAAGTAACTTGACCAATTCTTCCTTCTCGGGCATGTCAGGAAATCATCAGACATCACAGAGACAAGGTTAACCATGCTATCAATCAGTATACCGTCAAATCATTGCTATGGCAGTTGCTTAATGGGCTGAATTACCTCCACAGGTAAAGTTTACTTTTTGCAATCCTGATGGTTCTTTTCAGTTTTATTGTGCCAGTATTATCATTAACTTACATTTGTGTTTACGGGACTTCTGTGCAGTAACTGGATTATACATAGAGATCTAAAGCCGTCAAATATCTTGGTCCAGTTCTGATATCATTGCCCAATTGTTGTCATTCTTATATATCAAATATCTCTATAAATTTTCATTAAATATAATGCAGTAAATTTTCCTTTTCCTTGATTAAACCCATGCACATTGTCCTGTTCTTGTGAACTTTCACTGACCAGGTTATGGGAGAGGGAGAAGAACAAGGAGTTACTAAAATTGCTGATTTTGGTCTTGCTAGAATATATCAAGCTCCATTGAAGCCATTATCTGAAAATGGGGTAGGATGGATATTTTTATTTTATTTTATGTTCTTTAGCTCATCTGCTATTTTGCATCATGGTCTCATTTTTTATATATTTAGATGATGTAGGAAGATAGAATTTGTTTGAGCATTGTTGCATAATATACATCATGTAATACTAGTTTTTCAAATGCTTCAAATTTCACTAATTAGGTTGATCTTTGACTTGCATTTTATGATCCATATAGTTTTCTTTTGAATACCATGCAATGACAACTGTTCATTGGTGTGTTGTTTTGTTACATGTGATGCTATATCCCTTTGTCACTATGCAAGATAATTTTCCAATATTATTGTATTGCTTGCTATTACAGCCTTAGGATTTGTCTTTTTAATTTATCATAAATCATTTCATCTATTAGTACTGCTTCTTTTTTATTATTTATTTATTTTACACACAATATTTAATTTAGTGCACCAAAAGCAGTGTAATATGTGAATGGGATATGATTTTCCTCTTTTTTTGCATATATGTGTGTATATATATATATATATATATATATATGTATATATACTTCTTTTGGTCTTAAACATGAAACGAATTCCTTTTATAAAATGTATTTTCCAGAACTGTACCGATGAACTTCTATTTTTCTTTTTAAGGATATCTGAGAACATATCACTAATTCAACTGATTTTTTCATTCTTCTTCAAAACCGATCAAAACCAGTCGGGACCCCATTCACCAACACCGAGAATCTCGCTGAAGAAATGCAGAACTCAATCGAATTCCTCCATTTCTCCCCAAAACCCATCCTTGCCATCAAGTATAACAAAAAACTCCAACTAACATGATTATAAGCTTTCTCCACATCCAGCTTACACAAAACCCCTGGAACCCCACTCCTCAATCTATCATCCACACACTCCCTTGCAATAAGGACATAATCCAAAATCTGACGCCCCCCTATGAAGGCATTCTGAGATTCCGAAATTACCTCATCCAAAACACCCCTCATCCTCAAAGAAAGAACTTTGGCTATTAGTTTATAAATGCATCCCAACAAACTAATAGGTCTAAAGTCCTTACAGTTCCACCCTTCTTCGGAATAAGCGCTATAAAAGATGCATTCAAAGATTTCTCAAATCTCCCCTGAATATGAAAAGCATGAAATGTTCCCATCACCTCACCCCTGACCACATCCCAACTCTCCAACAAAAACCTCATAGTGAACCATCCGGACTCAGAGCTTTATCCCCACTACAATTTCTCAACGCCTTCAGCACTTCCTCCTCAAAAAACGGAATCTCCAACCCCTCCCTGTTCACCTCAGAAATCCTATCAAAATACAGTCCATCCAGTCGGGGTCTCGCAGACACAGGCTCCGTAAATAACCTCTGATAGAATCGGGCAATCCCCCTACAAACATCTTCCTCCCTACTCAAAACCACCCCATCCACAGTAAGCCTCCCTATGTGATTGCCCCTCGTATGAGCATTGGCCAATGTATGGAAGAACTTAGTATTCTTGTCCCCCTCCTTAAGCCATAATGCTCTAGTTTTCTGTCGCCACGAAATCTCCTCCGACACAGCAATCTCACCCTGGCACACCGCTTTCCTACTTCTCTGCTCATCATCAATACCACCCATGCTTTCCCGGCGATCAATCTCTGCAATCTCCGCCAAAGCCCTACTCTTCCTCCACTCGAGATTCCCGAATACCTCCTCATTCCACCTTTTTATCTATTTTTTCAGCACCCCAAGCTTTCTAGTAAGAATAAAACTCGGGTTCTCAGACACTAGACTCCCTTCCCACCAAGACCTCACACACCCCTGGAAATCATCCGCCCTAAGCCACACATTTTCTCAACAAAAATGAGTCATTCTAGACCTTAATCCACCACAATCCAACCCTAAAGGAATATAATCCGATGTCGGTCTAGCCAAGGCTGCCTGAGTTGCATCCGGAAACTTCTCCTCCCAATCTCCTGAAATAAGAAACCTATCCTGGCGTGATAACGTAGGAGACTCTCTGCCATTCACCCATGTGAAAGAAGCACCCTCCAACGGTAAATCATGAATATGCTGGCCATCAATGAATTCTGAAAACTGTACCTGAGTCCATCTTCTTCCTGTTGCTCTCTCCAAAGGGGATCTAACCATGTTAAAATCTCCCCCCACACACCAAGGAAGACTCCACTGATCCCCAACAGATCCCAATTCCTCCCATAAAAGATACCTCTCCCCATCATCCACTGGACCATACACACCCGAGAACATCCACTGAAACCGATCCTCTTCCATACTAAAACTGCAAGATATGGAAAATCTCCCTCGCCACACATCCGCTTTTGACACCCATCTCTTATCCCACATCACTAAAATACCCCCAGACGTCCCAACAGCATCCAACGCCTCCCATTCAATAAACCTCCCACCCCACAAACTCCTAACCATCCTATCCGAAATAGACGCCATCTTCGTCTCCTGTAAGCATGCCACATGAACACCCCATTTCCTCACTGCCAATCTGACCACCTTTCTTTTGTCCAAATCATTAAGCCCTCGGACATTCCACGAAATGATGCGACACTTCATTAAAAACCAGTAAATGACCCCTCCCCTCTCCTTCTCCCTCTTCCTCTCTCATTGCTTCTCTCCCTCCCCATCCCATTCTTCCCCTCATAATTAATATAAGAAATCAGGCCTCGAACCTTCCTTCCCCCCTCCACGGGAATAATCGCTTCTTCTTTCTACCTGTTCACAAACTCCCAGCATCCTCCCCATTCTTTCCCTCCATAATTGAATGCAACACCAAACGAGCCTACTCCTCATCTGGCTGAAAAGATAGTCCCAAAATACTGCTCACATTTTTGATGTTATCCTTCACCCACTCCACCCCCCTGTTTTCACAACCTATTGCAGAGAACTCCCTCCCCCCCTCCGGCCTTAGAACACATAACGGTTGCATCTCCAAGCAGGTAGAATCCTCACATGGAACCATCTCCATAACATTCCTGTCACTACCCCCTCCTCCTAATCTGTCACCACCACCACTCGAATCCTCAGGCCCATTGAAAGCCAAAGGTGAGCCAAAACCCCCTTCAGAATCCTCCCCTACTGTATTTGTGCCCAAATCCAGCACACGGTTCAGTCCCTTCAAACCATTGTACATTCTCAATTCCTTCACCAACACTGCCGCTGCCTCCTGACTCAACTGAAATTTTGAGTCACATCCCACACGCACCGTAACTCCGTCCAGACCTATCGGAAGTAGACCTTTTATTCGTCACACTACCTGCCCAATCAGCATCGGTATAGGCTTCAATCCTTAGATGGCCGTGGTTTTCAAACAACAAAACTCTTCCAGGTGATCCCTTTAGGTATTTGAGAATCTGGTAGACTGCCTCAAAGTGTTCTTCTCCTGGTGAGTGCATAGATTGACTCACTACACTCACTGCCAAGGTAATATCTGGCCGAGTGTGTGAAAGATAAATGAGTCTTCCAACCAGCCTTTGGAATTGCTCTCGGTTCACCACTTTTTCTGCACTTGCTGCCTGCAACTTTAAATTGGGCTCCATAGGTGTTTCCACTGGTTTGCAGCTAAGTAAACCTGTTTCCATAAGTAAACCCAACACATACTTCCTTCGAGAGACAAATATCTCTCTCTTGGATCTGGCAAATTCCATTCCTAGGAAGTATTTCAAAGCTCCAAGATCTTTTATCTCAAATACCTTTGCAATAAAAGACATCAAATCCTCCAATTCTCTTTTATTATCTCCGGTCAAGATTATGTCATCCACATAAACAATAAGTATGGCTATCTTACCATCACTTGAATGTTTGTAGAACAGAGCGTGATCAGCCTGACTTTGACGATATCCATGACCCTTGATAGCTTCAGTGAATCGACCAAACCATGCTCAGGGTGATTGTTTCAAACCATATAGCGATTTCTTCAATTTACACACCTTTCCAGCTCCATAATCATTTTCAAATCCTGGTGGTAGATTCATAAACACTTCTTCCTCTAGCTCACCATTTAAGAATGCATTCTTTACATCTAACTGCTGCAATGGCCAACTCAAGCTTGCAGCAAGAGACAACACCACCCGTATGGAATTTACCTTTGCCACCGGGGCAAAGGTTTCCTGGTAATCTATTCCATATGTTTGGGTGAAGCCTTTAGCTACGAGTCTCGCCTTGTATCTCTCAATATTACATCAGCCTTATATTTGACCGTGAACACCCATTTGCAGCCTACGGTCTTCTTCTCCTTGGCAACTCAACAATCTCCCAAGTTTTGTTCTTATCAAGAGCCCTCATCTCTTCCATAACTGCTGCCTTCCACTCAGTATGATTCAAGGCCTCCTGCATAGTTCTAGGAATTGAAACACTAGAGAGATTAGTGGTAAAAGCTCTATAATTTGGAGACAATATATGGTAGGACACATATTTAGCAATAGGATGCATGGTACAAGAGCGAGTACCCTTTCTAAGTGCAATAGGAATATCAAGGTCATGAGAAAGGCTCTCTTCATTGCTGGTTTCAGGAATTAAAGATGGATTAGAGACATAAATACCTGTTTCATGCAAGTTGCCTTTATCCGGAGAATTTTCTTGGCAGGTAGTAGGTTGGTGCTCTTTATTTTGATTCTTTCTTCTTCGAGAGTAAACACGGAGCTCAGATTGAGGTTGGATTCGAAGTGGTTCTCCCCCTGAAGTGTAGTCTATAATGTTTGACTCAATAGGCTTCGGAGAGGTTGACATAGTGGGTTTAGTAAGTAAGGTAGAGTTTGGTGAAACACTCGGCAATGGTAAAGAGCCCAATACTTCCCAAAAATGGTCTTCCCTCTCATTACTGTCCCCCTAAAGAGTATTTTTGGTGAAATAGGGTTGAGTCTCAAAAAAGGTCACATCCATACTCACAAATAATTTTTCAGAGGTGAGGTTATAACATTTATACCCTTTCTGTTTAGGAGAGCAACAAACACGCACTTTTCAGCCTTAGGATCAAGTTTTGAACGGTCCCGTGTA